AGGACAGCCAGGCTACACAGAGAAACCCTGTCTGGAAACCCCTTCCCCTCCCCCAAAAAACCTAAAGCTCATGTCAGCACTGAAAGATGAAATTTAGGGGTTCCAGGTCAGCCAGGACTGTTAAACACCGAAAACCTGACTTGAAAGACAACAACAACAACAACATGCCTATAGAATGTCCAAATCCAATTTCCTTCAGGTAAGGAAGTTACTGGCATGTCCCTATTGTGCCATTCGGCTCCTTCTGAGTTACTCCCAGGGCTGTCGGAGATTACACACACTCTGAATATTTATATCCAAAATTGTACATGTGGGCAAACAACCAATTACAGAATGGGTACAGGAACTGAATGAATACTCTCCCAATTAGATGCACAGATGAAAGAGTTGGCGAGATAGCTTAGTAGGTAAAGGTGTTTGCTGTGAAGCCTGAGAACTTCAGTTCAATCCTCATAAACCCAAACGGTAGGAGAGAACTGACTCCTGCAAGTTATCTTCTGACCTCCACACATCCAGTGAGGCATATGCATGTACACATGTACGTATACACACACACCACACACACACACAGACACACACACACACACACACACACACACACACACACACACACACACACACAGAATAAAATGTAAAAAAAAAAAAACTACAAAATGTACAAATGATGGTAAACACATGCAAATATGTTCAATACTATCAGTCATGAGGGAAATGTAAATCACTAATATAATGAAATGACCCTTCATACCTGGGAGGATGTGTACGCATGTATATATGTATATTTTGTTTAGTTGGCTGGTTTTGTGATTTTGAGACAGGGTTTCACTATGTAGTTCTGGCTATCCTGAAACTCAAAACAGGCTGGCCTCGTACTCACAGAGGTCCACCTGCCTCAAATGCTGGAATTATTCTTCAGATTTAGTTCCCCATTTAGAAATGTAAAAGCTAGGACGACTGGGGGGATGGCTCAGTTGGTAAGTGCTGCTGCACACACATTAGGATCTGAGTTCAGATTCCTAGCACACAGGTAAAAGCTGGGCACTGCAACACATATTTGTAACCTCAGCACCGAGGGCTGGGAAAAGAGACATGGAGATCCTGGGAGCCAGCCAGCTTAGCTCTAGGTTCAATCAGAGACTGTTTCAAAATTTAAAAGGCAGTAATAAGTAAAATAAATCAGAAAGCAAAGAAGTACCTGCACACATATACACACAAATACAGCCCCCAAACGCAAGAAATTTAAAAGCCAGACAAGCATAATGATACATCTCAGCACTTGGAAGAGAGGGTCACCACAAATTTGAGACCAGCCTGAGCAGAAGGTGGGGTGGGGGGAGTCATTCTTAGCTCAGAGGCTATGCAAAAAACCAGCCATAGGGCTAGATTCGGCCTACAAGCCAAAGTTTTTAGGTCAGGAATTTTCAGTGCATGATTTTTCAATTAAAAAATACATAAAAATAACCCCAATGTGGTAGCACATTCTAGCAATCCCAGTACTTGGAAGGCAGAAACAGGAAAGTTTGAAGCTATCCTGGATATTACGAAGCAAAGCCCTGTGTTAAGGATTTAAAAAAAAGGGGGGGGGGGGTTCTACACCAAATAAGTTTGGTGACACTAAGGAAGCAAAACACGTTATTATGCTGGCTTATTACAAAGCCCGAATTTTTCTTTTTTTCTTTCATTTTTCTTTATTAAGAAATTTTCGGGGGCTGGAGAGATGGCTCAGAGGTTAAGAGCACTGGCTGTTCTTCCAGAGGTCCTGAGTTCAATTCCCAGCAACCACATGGTGACTCACAACGGTCTATAATGAGATCCAGCGCCCTCTACTGGCCTGCAGGCTGAACACTCACTGTATGCATGATAAATAAATAAAATCTTTAAAAAAAAAAAAAAAAAAAAAATTTTTCTACCCACTCCACATACTATCCACAGATCCCCCCTCCTCCCTCCTCCCACCCCCAGCCCTCTTTCCCAAGCCACCCCGCATCCCCACATCCCCCAAATCGAGGTCTCCTATGAGGAGTCAGCAGAGCCCAGCACACTGAGCCTAGGCAGGTCCAAGCCCCTTCCTACTGCATCAAGGCTGTGCAAGGTGTCACACTACAAGCACTGGATCCCAGAAGCCTGCCCATAGACCAGGGACAGATCCCGACCCCCCTGCCTGGGTGCCCCCCAAACAGTTCGAGCCAAACAACTGTCTTCCGTATTCAGAGAAGCCCGAATTTTTCTTGTGAGAACTCTCAGGGCCTTTAACGTGGTATTACATTAAGACACTAAGAAAGGATAATGGTGAGTAGCTTTTCCCAAACTTATTTTCACCATCAAATCCCTTCTCAAAGGAGTCCGACAGTGGACAGTAGAATACACTTACTAAAGCATCAATCAGGTATCCCTTTAAAAAGAAACTCCCAAGTTAAGTTTTTAAAACTCCAAAAATACCACTGAGATGGCAACTAAGTCTAAGGCCACATCGTCTTGAATGTCACGTAACAACTGAATGACCACTTCACACCTTAAAAAATTTTTTTTGAGAAACATAAACAGGAAAAGAGACAGGAACTTTTGGTTCAACCCAACCTTTTGTTTTGTGGTAGAAGTGTCAGCAGAGTTGGATCATAATATGGAATCTTTGCTTCTCAACATGTGCGTGTGCATGTATAACAGTCCTGGCTGTCCTGAAACTCGATTTATAGACCAGGCTGGCCTTGAACTCTCAGAGATCTACCTGCCTCTGCCTCCTGAGTGCTGGTAATAAAGGCATCAGCCACCATGCCTGGCAGATAAACATTTAACAACAGATGGAAAAGTGATCTACTTAATGTTTGGTAAAGTGCAAAATAAGGAAATCTAATGTTAGATTAGAAAACTATAGGTATGCTTAAAGGATCATCTGTGAGGATGTGCTGGCAAGTCAGGACCATAAAAGAACTGGTCGTATGTGCTGGTCGTATGTGCTGGATGGATAGCTAGCCTACAAACTGCAAAACTTCTCTTATGTCTATACCCACACTGTTGGAAATCATTAAGGCTCAGTTTATAAATTAGGGAGAAGACTGACCCAAAAAACTGCTATCAGCCCTCCTGTGATCTGGAGTTCACTGACAAGCAGAGCCTTGGGGGGGGGGGGGGACACAAGCAACCCCAAAGTCAGTCTGGGCTACATGATACTCTGAAAAAGGAAAAGAGAGACAGACAGATACACAGAGACAGAGTGTTAGTTAGTTCACAGTCTTCAGAAGCTCTCTAAACTGTTCTTAGAAAACAAATTACTGGGGCTGGAGAGATGGCTTAGGGATTAAAGAGCACTGACTGCTCTTCCAGAGGACCCAGGTTCAATTCGCAGCACCCACATGGCAGCAGGTCACAACTATCTGTAACTCCAGGATCTGACACCCTCACACAGACATACATGCTGGCAAAAAAAAAAAAAAAAAAAAAAAAAAAAAGCACATAAAATAAAAATAAATAAATTTAACAAAGAAAACAAATTACTAATGTCAGATACAGCCCAGCATTTGGGAGGGTGAGGCATGAGGATCACAGCCTGGGCTATAAAGTGAGACCCTGACTAATAAATAAATAAATAATTTAAAAGCAAAACAAAAAATTACTAACCAATGGAATGGATCACTGTTTATTAATACAACAAATACTTCCAACACCTTTATCAGATATTGGGTCGTTCCAAAGTCCTTGAAAAGAAGGATGGTGAACATGACAACCAGGAAAAGATTACGTAAGATCAAGTGTGCTGGTCTTATTTACAGGAGATGTAGGCTAGGGAGAAGGAGAGGTCAAGAAAAGAAAGGAAGACCAAGAAATTTCACATTCAGCAGGCATAATGGTACTAAGTAATGTGGAATCCCAGCACTCTGAAACTGAGGCAGGAGGATCAGGAGTTCAAGGCCAACCTGAACTACAAAAGGAGTTTGAAGACAGCCTGAGATCCAGTCTCAAACTAACAAAAGAAATGTCACATACACTCTGAGGGCAGAGTTAGCAATGGAAGGATAGATTCATAATAACTACTTAGAATAAGAGACTTTCAAGTTGGAAAGGACCTCCATCTAATACCTGTACACCTTCTTCCATAAGGAGACAGCCAATCCCATCAATGGTCACCTCTGACGATTCTCCCGTTAAATCCTTAATATTAAGTACACATTTGTCTTCCCGTAGAGCCCACCGATTAATCCTAGTTGTACCTCTTTCAGCCTTAAAGTTTAAGTGGGAGTCCTCTTTGCCATAACCTACGTGCGCCACGCCCCCGGCCAGTTTTTAAAGATAGTTATTCTCCTCTGGTGGTCTTTCCTAAGCCAGACTGCTGTTTCAAAGAACCGAGCCGGTTCCAGCTGCCTCCACGGGAATCCCGCAGTCAGAGCGGGAGAGCCCTTGAGCCGATCAGGCTTCAAACCCCGGCAGGTACAGGAGTCCCGAGGAGAACGTTCAAAAGAAGGTTTCCTAGGTTCCAAACCCAGATTCGAAAGAAGCTGTCGAAGGAGTCCAGGGCTGGAAAGCCGGCATCCCAGAGGCTTTCCGGGCAGGCAGTGCGAGGACCGTGTTTGGAGAAGCCGTGCCGGGACTGCCAAGTGTGGGAACCAGGCTCAGTGAGGTAGGGGACTCGGTCTAGAACGCACAATTAGCTGTGGGCGGCGAACTCGAACCCGGGTCTCCCACGCTTCACCCCGAATCTGTTTACCACACTCCGTACCTCTCCGCTCAGCCAAATCACTACCTACGTGGGGGACGGTCCCGCACCCGAGGCAGAGGGAGTCAGGGCGAGCCCCTGTCCGGAAAGGGAGCTCCTTGCGCGCCCTTCTCTTTTCTGGGGCCTCAGTTTGCCCAATCTGTACCCAAGGACGCGGGCCTGACCTTTCTCCTGGGACCCGGGAAGGGTCAGACTTGCCGTCTCCGGGCCCCGGGTTCCAGGTGCCTCGGTCCCTGAGCCCCGGAAGGGGGTCCCACGCCTCCCGGGCCCGCCGCCCCAGTTCGTCACGTACCTGCCGCCGCACAGCCAGCGCCAGCGACGCCACCAGCCCCTCTCTGTCCCACGGTGGACCGGCCGGTCTGAGAGGCTCGTCAGTCGGAAAGATTGAACCTCCGGCCCCTCCCACCCGGACTTCAGTCACCTGACGCGGAGCCGCCTCTGTCAGAGCGACTTCCGGCTACAGCCGGAAAAGGCTGGTGTGCAGCGCCGAGCTCCGGCCAGGTGCCGAGCGAGCTCGTAAGTTCCGCCCTGGGGCAGGAAGCGGAGGACTTCCGGCCTTTTGGTAGTGTTTCCTAGCGCGTGGGGAGGAGGAGAAGGGAGTCCGGTGGGTGGAGGGCTTGCTTCGCCTTCGTGAGGACGTGGGTTCGATTCCCAACAGCGCATAAAACGTGTGCGTACACGCCAGTAATCCCAGCATTCACCCGGGTGGTGGATCAGATTAGTGTCGTTGTCGAAGTAAACTTGGGATACATGAGACTGTTGTTAAACAACAGTAGCAAAAAGCATGTTGGAAAGGGCCGCCTTGATGAAAAAGCCAGTTCTAGAGACACCACTTTGGAATGTAAGGACGGTGGTGATGGATAGGAATGTGTAAAATGACACAGGAGCTACCTTGAAGACTCTACTAAACAAATCCGTGAAATTTTAGTATCAAAATAATGAAGATAGTAAGAGTCTAACTAATTGGAGCCATTGAGATGGCTCAGTGGGTAAGGATGCTTGCTGCCAAGCCTGTCAACCCTAGTTCAATCCCCAGGGACTCACAGCTGTCCCCTGACCTTCTCTTGTATACAGACACAATAAGTACATGTTGATTTTTTAATTTTAAAAGTATAATTAGATGCACTGGTGACCAATGAGGGATTTTCTTACATTAACAAATATATTTATTACATTTTAAAAAAAGTGAATGGAAAAATCGATGTTTTAACTTTGAATATATAACAAACATTATTCCAGTGCAGCAGCATTCAATGCAGATGAGTGACTCTGCCATTCAACCCCTACAAAGCTGTGCAGATGTGTTGCACGCAGAGTGGGCAGAGATCCAGCTGCACACCTCATTCTGGAAACAGGATGGGACTTCCATCCTGGCCTTGGACAAGCAGGAGCAGCAGCATTCATGAGTGCAAGCTGAGGTGGGGCTGGCACGCTGGCCTTGAAGTACTTTGAACTGGGTGGTTTTCAGTTCTGCTTTGCAGCTTTGAGAGCCCAGACTCTATAGGACAGATGAGTTTGCAGATCTCCCTGGAGTTCTGCCCTTATCGGACTCCAGCTGTGGAGGACCTGAAGGAATGCTCCTCTCCTTTTGTTCCTGGGAAAACTATGGTTATTTTGGAGGATTCTTAGTCTCATTAATAAAAGAATTTAGAAATGGACTTAAACAAGGCACAAAGCAATTCTTTTAGAGTTTAGGAGAAAAGCAGTACAGGTTAGTTGAAAATCCCAGCAGCTGCCAGGAGATGGAGAAAAAGTCATGTCTTTTAAACTAAGCATGGGATAGACTTAGACAGTTTATCAAAAAGGGAGAAACTGGCCTGGCAGTGGTGTCGAATGCCTTTAATCCCAGCACTCAGGAGGTAGAGGCAGGTGGATCTCTGTGAGTTCAAAACCTTGTCTCAAAAAAACCAAAAAAGAAGAGAGAGAAGGAGCAGAGAGAGAGAGAGAGAGAGAGAGAGAAGAAAAGAGAGAAAGAAAGGAAAGAAAGGAAGGGGGAAACTGGGCTGGAGAGATGGCTCAGCTGTTAAGAGCACAGGACCAGAGAACCCAGGTTTGATTCCCAGCAGTCATGTAGTGGCTCACAGCCTTCCCTAATTTCAGTTTCAGGGGATCTGGTGCCATCTTATGGTGTCTCTGGGTACTGCATGAACATGCTTACAGGCAAAGCATCCATACACATAAAATAAAATAAAAAAAATTAAAGAAAGAAAAACAGGGCTTGGAGAGATGGCTCAGTGGTTAAGAGCACAGGTTGCTCTTCCAAAGGTCCTGAGTTCAATTCCCAGCAGCCACATGGTGGCTCCCAACCATCTATAATAGTATCTGATGCTCTCTTCTGGCATTCAGGCATACATGCAGACAGAGCACTCAAACCTAAAAAATATATAAATAAATAAATATATATATATATAATACACTTTTAAAGGTATATATATATATATATGTAAACTTTTTAAAAGAATAGAAAGAAAGAAGGAAATTAATAAAGAAAGAAAGGAGGGAAGGAAGAAAGGAAGACAGAAAGAAAGAAACCCACCCCCAAGAATGGCAGTGGCCTAATAAGCTGAGCAAAGACCCTAAGAAGCACGGGGCATGCAGGTGTACGGTCTCTTAGAGCCCTCGCTTCCTGTTTGTCTCTCCAGGGCTTTGTTTTCCTCATGCTCTGCTCGTGATGCCCCAGGAAGGAAGGGCTCGGGGTCTTCCTCTGCAAACAGGCTTCTTCTCCGTTCATCTTGATGCAGCTTTTGCTGCTGCTGTTCTTCCTCTCCTGTCACGTTATTGTGGGAACCCTTGATCCCAGTACAGTTTAACATGCTGAGTCAGGACAAGATCAGAGGGCACCCACTTGTCCCCTGGATAGAGGTGGACTGGCTTTCTGTAGGTACTCAGATTCCTCCGAATCCTTCTGGAGACTTCTGGCCATCCTAATCGTTGAAGTACTCCAGGCAGTGGGAGTTTCAAAGCCCGACTTCTTGGGGCCATACTGTGACTCTTACACTCTGCCGACTATTCCAGCTGCTAGGCCCTGGGTCCTGGTTTCCGCCTATCGAGTAACATGTTTTAGTGCAGTGGTCTTGAAGTACATGGGGCTCTTGCTCCCAGCATGAGGCCAGCAGTGGCCTGGCCTTCAGATGTCCTGTCTCAGAGTGCAGCAAGGAGGCGACCTTTTACTCTGTTCTAGAATCTGACTCTGAGCCTGTTCCTGATCAGTGTTTTCTGACGTGAAGTCATGACATAGGCAGAAATCTGCAGCTCAGGCTTCTGCACTTGCTTTAAGTTAGTGTCCTGGACCATTCTTGCAGCCAGCAGCTCCAGCTTCTCTTTTGTATGGTGGTTTATTTTCTCCTCCCACTGCCCACTTGGCCTGGAGGTCTCCTTCCTTGTCAGTGCAGGCTCATGGAGGGCATGCAGTCTTCTCAGCTATACACGGAGCTCTCTCATCCCAACCGCCATCAGAGTACTAGCACTTAGTGTGGACAGCCGGGAGAACGGGTCCCTTCCTGCGTCATCTGACTCATTGGGGCTTTCCCCCGTGCCTCCTTTGCATGTTGTCATTCGACCAGATTCTTAGCACATGTGAACAATGGTGGCCATTGTTTGTGCAGAGACAATTCTGTTCCTACCCACAAACACTCCTGACTGTGCTATGGCAAAGGACTGGCTCAGTCCATTGCTGGCAGCTAAGGCAGTTCTCTCTCTCTCTCTCTCTCTCTCTCTCTCTCTCTCTCTCTCTCTCTCTCTCTCTCTCTCTCTCTCTCTCTCACCTTTAATCCCAGCACTTGGGAGGCAGAGGCACACAAATGTCTGAGTTCCAGGCCAGCCTGGACTACAGATCGAGTTCCAGGACAGCCAGGGCTAAACAGAGAAACCCTGTTGAAAAACAAAGCAAAACAACAACAGAATTTACCTTATTTTATGTATATGGGTGTTTGCCTGCACGTGTATCTATCACTTACATGTAGTGCTCATGGAGTCCAGAAGAGGGCATTAGATTCCCCGAAACTGGAGTTATAGGTGGTTGTGAGCTGCCGTGTAAGTGCTGAAGTCCAACTCAAGCCTTCAGGGAGAGCGGACATGCTCTTAACCACTGAGCTATCCCTCCAGCCCCCTTTTCTACCATGCTCCCCTTCTCTCCCTGATGCTGGGGTGCAGCTCTATTTTCTTTTTCATCTAGTAGGACAGTAAACCACCTCATTTTTGTTTCAGAGGTTCCAGTCTGCCCTGGCAGGGAGGGCGTGGTGGAACAGAAAGGCTTACCTTCCAGCGGCCAGGAACCAGCAAGAGAATCCATGGAGTTTTAGTAACTCAGAGAAGCAAATAAAGGGGCCAAGGAAATGGCTTCTCAATAGTGACTTCAGTCTTCAGCAGCCATATAAAAGGCCAGGGGTGGTGGTTCTTGCTTGTAATGCCAGCACTAAGGAAACAGAGGAAGGCTGATCCCTGGAGTTTGCTGGCGTGGTCTCACTGAGGAGGAGGGCGGGTGAGATGGTTCAGCCAGCAAAAGCTCTTGCTAAACAAGCCTGACACATTGAGTTTGCTACCTGGAACTCACAGTGGAAGGAGAGAACCAACTCCTAAAAAATCATCCTTTGATTCCCTAACTAAAAATAATAAGGCAGATGGCTCCTAAAGAAACCTGGGGTTGACCTCCGGTTACATGAGCACATAGCTTTAATGAACAGTATTGGGACAAACAGTAGCATTGACATATGGACGATAGGTTAACTGTTAGTACACATGGTTTCAGATGACATATACAAGGTGTGACAGTATTTGCTCTGCCCATGACCTTGGGCTATACGGCCCGAAGGAGGCAGTGCTTCTTGTCTTTGTATGTGACCTCTTAGAAGGAAAGGGAGAAGGGTGGTGAGATCCCTTCTCCCTGCTTCCTGTTGTGATCAAACAGCCAGGTGGATTCGCTCCTGGTCAGATCAGAGGACAACTTCAGCTGTCTGCTTGGTTCTGTATTGACCAACAATCACATCCAGATGTGGACTTTGCATGCTGGAACGCCTGGCAAGCGAAACCTACCGGTACGGTGGTGGCATGAATATCCTAGCTATACACAATCACTTCCTGACTGGCTCTTAGGCCTACTCCTCAGAAGGGAGTGTAACAGGCTCCCAGATCTTAGCAAAGCTGATGCCACGAAGGAAGTACTGTTCAGGCCATGGAACCCAACCTGTAGGCAGCACTACTTGCCAAAACCAAAACCAAGTCCTAACCCAGTGGTTCTCAACATATGGGTCTCAAAGGACCCTTTCACAGGGGTTTCCTAAGACCATCGGAAAACACAGAGATTTATATTACAATTCACAACAGTAGCAAAACTACAGTTATGAAGTAGCAACAAAAATAACTTTATGGTTGGGGTCACCACAACATGAGGAACTGTATTAAAGGGTCTCAGCATTAGGAAGG